CTGGGAGGGCTTGTGAAAACACAAGCTCCACCCCCATAGTTACTGATTCAAGAGGTCCCCAGTAGGGCTGAATATTTGTATCTTCAATAAATTCACAAGTGATGCTGGTATTTGAGAACAACTTCCAGAGAGTTAATCTGGGGATCGCGTGGAGGATGGCTTAGAAACGGATAGCAAAGAGATGGAAACACCAGTCAGAAGACAGTTATACCCATCCAGGTGAAATGAGAGACTAAGCTGGAATCAATGGAAATAACATAGTCAGCTATAGTCAAGACTAGGTATTTTCGAATAAAAGTCAATATGATAGAAAGTGTAATACTGAATTAAAGTTACATATTAATGAGAGGAGTAACTTCCTTTCAAGTTGTGTGAAAGGGTATCTTTTATTTCTTCTGGTAATGAATTGGCCTAGAAAAACAGAACTATACTGGGAAGTGTGTAAATATAAGAATATTCCTTTGAATATTAGAAATTATAATGATATATAGAGATAAAAACTTTGAGCTCATAATCTAGAATTTGGTAAGACCACAAAAGGTGGAATCTAATCAATGCTTCTGCTCTCAGGAAAGATTACCTCCAAAATCTATCAAGATCTATAGTTGTATATTTAATTTATGAAGATCCTGAAGGGGAGACTCTTAAGAGAGGTGAAGGCAGGGTTAGGGACTCTGGAAGGTTCAAATAATAATTCCTAAGGTTTGGAGTTTAGACCAAAGCTTCTTATTTATTATTATCATGCTAACCTCTACTAGTTATTCCTACTAATTAGATATCTAAAAGCTAATTGAGGCAATATTTTCCTTTTCCTTTTCCTAGAGATTTATCCTGCAATAAAATACAGTCTATCGAAAGACGTACATTTGAACCACTACCTTTTTTGCAGTTTATGTAAGTTACAAATATAATTTCATTATATTTGGAATTTTTATAAAGCTTAATTTTTTATAAAATTAATTTGTTACTCATTTTGAAATATGATTAAAATTCCTGCTAAAATTTAGTAGCAAATCCTTTTAGTCTCTGGCAAAGATTAGTGTGAGAATTATTAAACGGATCAGAGTGAATCATTGTAGAGCAGTGGTTCTCAACCAGGGTGATTTTGCACGCAGGTGACATTTGATAGTGTCTGGAGACATTTTTGCTTGTCAGAACTGTATATGCTCCTGGCATCTAGTGGACAGAGGCCACAGATGCTACTAAACGTCCAACAGTGTACAGGAGAGCCTCCCACAGCAAAGAATTATCCAGCCCAAAATGTCAATAGTGCTGCCTTTCTAGAGAAATAAAGATCACTTAACACAAGTATTTAATGAGCATTTACTATTTTGTATCTAATGCACCACATATACAATCATGAAAATATAAATCATAGTATGTTCCACAGTGAGATTTCATTAGTGTGTGGAGGGAGTAGTGATGTTATGTTTCATCGTATATAAATTAGAATTATTGCCAAACGATAACTGTTCTGAAAGAATATATATTTTTCTTCTTCTTTTGCATGTGTCTTTTTTTGTAGAAATCTTGGTTGCAATTTACTCACAGAACTGAGCTTTGGAACGTTTCAGGCCTGGCATGGAATGCGCTTTTTACACACGTTGTAAGTGAAATAGAAGATGAATGCATGTAAAAAACTGTGTGTAAAAACACCATGCAGTTATTGGTTAGCTGGGTGTAAGCCCAGTTTGAATTCTGGAAAGTATGTCTTGAGAGCCATTTATTATTTTTTCAAATGAGGAAACTAAGGTACAAAGAGGCCAAGAGACTTGTTTAATTCATATATATGAAACGCTCTGCTTTCCATAGTACTGATCTTTGGCACGGGCAATAAAAGGCACCAAGCAAAAACGCTCAGATTAGCGTTGTCATGGAATCCCACTGATGCCTCTCCACTATGCGAGTGGTCCATGAAGTACCGCTTTTGAATTTAACTTTGATTCCTGCTCATGTGCAAAGTTCCTAACTGCTTAAAATGTATGCAACCCAGAGCTGCAAAGAACTAAGTTTAGCACCCAATTCTTCAGGAGCATAAGGTGTGGGTGCTGCCCCAAGCATTATTAGCTCTTTTAAATGGTAAAGCAGAAAGAATTCCTGAACACCCACCACAGGGCTCTCCCCAGCCACCCAGAACATTATTTTTCAAAAAGCATATATCTCTGAAGTGAATTATCTGTGGCCAGTAGGAACCTTTGCGGTATGGAAAAAGACGTTTGTGTTCAGCTGTAGTGTGAAAAACATAAAGAAAATACATTGCTGTAGCCTAATTCAATATACTTCCTTTGCTGACTACTCTTCAATAAGAAGTGTGGGTTTTACACCCCTTCAGCTCAAAAATTCTGTGATTTCTCATGACACAAGGAAATGATAGTGGGTACGTTCAGTGGCCCGAAGGCGATTTTAGACTCAAGGTAAAGAGCTCTTCTACACCTGGCTTTGGAAAAGACTCTCTTACCTGTCTTGTGGTTCAGAAATCCAGTTTCACACAGTTCACACACTTTGGTTAATGAAGGTGTTGAGGCTGTGTCTGGAGCTGCATTAGCAATTCCTGCAGATGCGTATCTTCGGCGGCCTCCTTCCTTTCCCTTGTTAGTTTGCTGATGCCTGCCTTGGGGAGAGAGCATCAGGGTCAGGTTTTCTTTTGCCAGCACAACGGAGAGCAGGCTCATGACACCCCTTTACCAGGAGGTTTTAGTAGCGTCAATACAATGTCTTAAACTCACCACCTTTCCTAAACATCCTATAACACCAAGAGTTCCTTATAAGAATCTGAGTTTCACTATAGTTATGTAGGCAACCCAGGAAAATACATTGTGGAAATCAATCAATCAATCAATCACAGTTTAAAAATTAATGAATTCATTCAAAAACATTCACTGAGTGCCATGCCCACTGTGTGTCAGCACTGTACTAACTGCTGGGGATACAAAGATGCATAGGGCAGGGACTTTGTCCCCAAGAAGCTTTCATACTGGAAGGAGAAAGGTGGATGTTGATGGGAAAACATATATGAGAGACATATATGGCTCTTGTGGTCTTCTAGCATCTATGCAGCAGGGTAACAAGGTGAGGGAGGGGAGTGATGAAGTAGAAAATGGGTGGTAAGTTAGAAAAAATTTGTAATGGAAGAGGCACCAACTTGTTCCTTTTGAATTTGTGTTCCTCTTAAATGACAGAAAAAGGTAGTGAAAGAATCAGAACTATCTGGTGTTGGAATAAATGAGTACTGTACTCCTAAAACTCGTTCACAGTTACTCTCAAAAGATTGTCACAGTATAGTAAGCCTTTGTTTTGGGCTAAGTCTTTCTAATAGAAAAAGCTAATTTGCTTCAGGAAACATTTGCCATGGTGAGATATAAACTTTATTGCATCTCTTTCCAAAGGCAAGCCACCAAGGGAAGATGCCACCCTCGAGTTAAGTCATTTTATTACCCTATAATGACATATTACTGGGGTGTTTATAAGTTGCCTGCATTAAATAAGTTTGGAAAAGGGCCCCAGCTGAGGTGGATTTATGAATTCAATGAAGCTTAGGTTTCAGGGCTCCTCACTTGCATAGGTCCCTTGCAAGGTCTTGAGAGGGGTCCTAGCGATTTTTGTATTCATAACTTTGCATGTTTTTATTAGATATGATTTCCCAAAGTAGATGAGGTTCAGGCCCCACAAAACCTTGATTCATCACTGGGTTTCAGGTAATTATAAGACAGTGGGTTTCTTGAATGACGCCTCGATGTTATTGACAAGCATAAGGTGAAGTAGTTAGCAGTGTGGTAGTCTATTTTAAATCCGAAATCTACCTCAAAGATGAGCCAAGAGCTTATTAATTAATAAAGTACCACTCTTTGAATGGTGGTAGTAATCATATCTCTTTCAGATAAAATCAGGAATGAAATATATTATGGAAAACCAGCAGTGGTTGATAATCCTAAATGTTAAGTATACTTTTTTTTTCTGGCTTTAAAGTGTTTCTCGTTCACTCACCTATGCAGGTGCAGACTGATGGCTTATTTTTAAAAATTCTTTTAGTCACTTCATTGGTTCTAACAATACAAGCTCCATGATTTTAGGAACTGAAGAACTCTACAATGTAGAAAGTCTATGTAACTTAACCAGTCAGAGCACATTCACATGCTGGCTTGTCTGTGGTACATCAATATTGTACCAAGAACATAAGCCCTAAGAGAGAATAAGAGGAAAATCAAAGCCTTATCCCTATTGAATTATTTACCCCATTGTTGAGAATATCAATGAGGGAGGTGAGGCCACACTATGAAGGCAAATTGAGCTGCGGTCACAGAGCCGCCCTAATGCTCCCCCATTCAGCTAGCATTG